ATAGCTAACCACACTACATACTATATGTCAGAAAAGTGGACACAATTAACTTTTGTAATGAAAAAAGCGGACACTACAAACCATTGTAGTCTCAAAAAGTGGACACTATTAACTTTTATAATGAACAAAGCGGACTCTACAAACCATTGTAGTCTGAAAAAGCAGACACTACTAACTTTTGTAGTCTCAAAAAGCGGACACTACAAACCATTGTAGTCTCAAAAAGTGGACACTATTAACTTTTATAATGAAAAAAGCGGACACTACAAACCATTGTAGTCTCAAAAAGCGGACACTACAAACCATTGTAGTCTGAAAAAACAGACACTACTAATTTTTGTAGTCTCAAAAAGCGGACACTATTACTTTTGTAATGAGAAAAGCAGACACTACTAATTTTTGTAGTCTTTGTCTGACCTTTGTGGTCTATGTCCAACTTTTGTAGTCTTTTTTGTAGTCTATTAGTAAACTTTGTAGGCTATAAATTACTTTTGTAGTCTGTCAGTGTCAATTACCCTTTTAGGGCATGTACCTTCCTTTTTGGGAGAAATTTCCCACAATACAATAGTTGTAGCCCCTTCTCTTAGCTTTCTAAATCTGTTGAAATCATGTTGTTTAGTGTTCTTTTCATGAAGAAAAATGCAAAAAACAAAAAAAAATGTGGCGCTTTTGAAAACCTTTTACCTTATATCTCCACAATGGAAGCACTTTAGGACATAATTCCAACTGATTCTGGAAGCTATGGTAAAGAGCTACAACTTTTGTTTTTTTACCATTTTTGGAAATTTGTCATGTGACCACCCTCCCAATGACCCATTGGATGGACCGTAATAGCTATTTCATTGCTATCATGGAATATAATGAAAAATCATAATGATATCCCTGGGGGCAGATATGAAATTGGAATGAAATATTGAGATACTCAATGAAAAATCCCAATGAAAGCTGTGGAATATTCAATGAAAGTGCACATCATTAATTATGAAAGAAGCAATGAATACATATAACCTAGCTAATGAAATATTTATTGAAATGCACAATGAAAGCACCCAGAATTGATAATGAAATATTCAATGAAAGCGCACAGCATTAATTATGAAAGAGGCAATGAATACACCTGACCTAGGGAATGAGATATTTATTGAAATTGCACAACATTAATTATGAAAAGTACAATGAAAGCATCCAATATTCCTAATGAAATATTCAATGAAAGCGCACACCATTAAATATGAAAGAGGCAATGAATACACCTGACCTAGGGAATGAGATATTTATTGAAATTGCACAACATTAATTATGAAAAGTACAATGAAAGCATCCAATATTCCTAATGAAATATTCAATGAAAGCGCACACCATTAGATATGATAGAGGCATTGAATACACCTAACATAGTGAATGAAATATTTATTGAAATCACACAGGATTAATTATGAAAAAAGCAATGAAAGCGCCCAAAATTCCTAATGAAATATTCAATGAAAGTGCACACCATTAATTATGAAAAAGGCAATGAATACACCTAACCCAGTGAATGAAATACCTATTGAAAGCGCACAGGTTTAATTATGAAAAGCACTCTGTGGCCTTGCCTATATCTTATGAGAAGGACATAGCCTTTATGAGAAAGAAAGACACAGGACACACCTATGAAAGGCCTTTCATAAAACTTGTGGACTTATACACACAGCTCTACAGGCAAGTGCCTTAGTTTTATGATAAAGGTGGTAGCCACTTGTGAGAGGCCATAGAACAGGCAGGAATCACCTTATCCCCAAATAAGTGTCATCTGTTTTATGGGTCAATTCTGCTCCTGGGGCACAAAGTTTCAAGGCTAGGGCTCTCGACTCACACAGAGAAAGTTAAGGCCATTCTGGAGCTAGAACGCCCCAAGAAATTGTCGCAACTCCAGACGTTCCTAGGCATGATAGTTTATTTCTCAGCTTTCATTCCCTACTATGCATCGATTTGCGCACCTTTATTCAGCCTCCTACGGAAGCATTCCTGTTGGAAATGGGGGGCAGAAGAGGAACACGCTTTCCAAGCGGCAAAGGACGCATTGCAATCCAGTCCGGTACTTGGGCATCCCATAGAAGGTCGACCTTACCGATTGTACACGGATGCTTCCGACGAGGCTGCAGGTTGCGCACTTCAACAAATTCAGCCCATGGCAATTAAGGATTTGAAAGGAACTAGGGCTTACGACCGCTTAAAGAAAGCATACGACGCAGGCCTGCCACCGCCCAAGTTAACAACGACCCTCAGTTCAAAAACGGCGGATAGCCCAAATAACGACCAATGGGGGGAAGATTTTGAATCTTCAATAGTCCACGTCGAAAGAGTTATCGGCTATTGGTCTAGAACCTTTAAAGGGGCTGAGACGAGGTATTCCACCACTGAAAGAGAAGCGTTAGCAGCGAAAGAAGGATTGGTTAAGTTTCAGCCTTACATAGAAGGAGAAACGGTCCTCTTGATAACAGATCATTCGGCGCTACAGTGGGCTCGCACATACGAGAACGCCAATAGACGTCTCGCAGCCTGGGGGGCAATATTTTCCGCTTATGCACCTGGCTTAGAGATAATACACCGAGCCGGAAGGGTGCATTTGAACGTCGATCCTTTGTCACGTCTCCATAGAGCGGCCCCTGAACATACTTCTCCCACTTCAGATCCTAGCCCCTCGATCGTCACTGATTCGACTTTGGCCGAGGCGCAAGAGAGAACGTTAACCTACTCGACGGCACGAGAAGCATTCCTAGCTTGGAGTGTCGACGAATGTCTAGAGGGCATTCAGTCAGCATGGACAGCATTCAGATCGGCAAGTACAGGAGAAACCACTCAGCACTTGGAAATTCCCGAAGACGTTAACTCGGAAGGAGAAGGACTAGATACCTTGCCTGTGGGAGAAGAGTATTGGGACGCCAGTAATCCGGCTCCAAACCTTCACGTGGAAATGGACCAAAGTTTCATAACGGAATGGGTTAAAGGCTACGACACGGACCCGTCATTCCGCGCAATATGGAAAGACGAAGATCGTGACGTACAGAACTGGAAAAACAACAGACGATTCTTGAAGGACGAACGGGGACTACTATTTTTCCTAGACGAAAGCTACCAGCCGAGGCTGTGCATCCCACATACACAGAGAAACCTTGTCTTAAGGGAAGCCCACGAAAACCCCCTCGAATCAGCGCATGCAGGTCCAGAACGTCTGTGGCAGAATCTGAGCCAAAAATTCTACTGGAAAAGGATGAAGGCAGACGTACTAGAGTACTGCAAAGCGTGCGACGTCTGTCAGAAGACGAAGCCCTCGAATTTTAACAAGTACGGTTACCTGATACCAAACCCTATACCGTCCCGCCCTTATCAATCGATCTCCATGGATTTTATCGTCAATTTACCCTGGTCAAATGGGTTTAATGCGATATTTGTAGTAGTGGATAGGCTTTCGAAACAGGGCTCGTTCATACTGTGACATACCATGGATACTCATTCGTTCGACTCCCTCATCCATCGTAGAGTACACGGCACTTTCCACTTGCACCTTATTTTGAAACCTTATTTCTTTAGTCATCAGTTCTCACGTTGTACATAGTTCACTGATTACTACAGAAAATATGATATCTCTTCTTCACCACATCTACCTATCCATCAGGATACGAGCTACTGTACTAACAGTCCTCTAAACCCTGTATTAGGTGATTTGCGTTGTTCGGAGCAATTGGTTCCCTCAGAAAGGTTGACTTGACAAGGGCTAACAGGTATCGAGTCTGCGGTCGACGTAGACATCGATACGTGTTTACGACCGGCTGTTCCGAGATAGAGCTCGACCCCACCTCGGGTCTCCACACCTCAGACCGTCAGACTTTCAGGATACACGACGTTAGACGCAGTTGAACCCTCACAAAGGTGGACACTGTGGGATCACGTCGACCAAACTGGTGAGTATCAATTCCCCTAACTATTTTTCCGTACTAAGAAATGATTCCCCTACAATTTCCTCACCCCCTTCAACACCCGAGCCCCTTCACAACACATCATCTACCCCTGAAGAACCCGAAGGATTTTACTCTTTTTCGGACTCAAATATGTTCGGCAAACAACCTCGGATCTCTTCTCAGTCCTCCTCAACATCAGCGACATCCCTCACACGTCGACTTAACATAGTCGACGGCAGTAAACAACCCCCCGGTCTACATAAACCCATCTCCCAAGCTATTTCCACTCCTACAGTCGCCACCAGTCCTATTACGGCTGAAGGTTCGCTGACCACGCCGAAAGAAAACTCAACGAGAGTATTGAGCAAAGCGGAAGGGAAAAGGACAGATCGGACAACATCTCAATCGAAGGACGAGACGGCGAGAGCTCCTGTATTCTTCGCCCCTCCTTCCAGTTCCCTTCAATTTCACTCGTCAAACGAACAACCATCCTTTAGCGTGAACACTGATACGGCTTTCGAGATAGACGTCACAGCTAATTCAGGAGAAGAGGAGGAGACCCCCTGCGTATCACAGTTCACACGCAGAGGAATGGAGAACGGCTACTCCCTCTCTCCAATGTATAACTTATGGTTGGAATACTGTGACGAGGGAGAAGCCTCGAAGTCGACTCAATCCAGGGTAGTATTCTACGCTATGAAACCGTCTTTAGCTCGAGACGAGGTCATAGACAGAGGCCCGGATGCTTCGACTCAGCGATACATGGTACATAAACCTCTTTTCGAGCAAATAAGCCGTACTGTAAATGAGCTTCAAGTTTTCATTCAGCACATGGCAGGACTCATAGAAGAACGGAATGTCTACTTTCAGGTGGACCCAGACGATGCCATATTAGAAATCCTAGAAGGAGCTGAGACTACTAGTCAATTACATGCAGCGTGGCTTGGATTAACTAGTCGATTGGGCGCAGCCCAAAAGTTCATGCTTAAATACCAACAGGAGTATCAGAACATCCAAATACCATCTTCTCCGGTATCTACCAATCCGGATATACATAAGTACATCTCAGGACTGCCAGACGTCGACGAGAAGCTACGGAACATTCACGGTATGATTCCCCGTCACGCTCAAAAACTTCCACAAGATGCACAACGACGACTAACGGAAACGAAGGAGAAATGGGAAAGTATCATCCCTGCTCCCCCTTGGTTAACGACTCCAGCGCAAAAATCCTCATCGCCGATTGCCAACTTTCCAGCTAGGACGAGTTACAAGGCCGCTTCTTCCTTTGCACTACCGGAGGAAGTCGATCCTCCACCGACAGTGCAAAAGAAGCAACTAACGACGCCTTGGAAAGGATCGAAAGTCGTTCAGTTCGCTTCCGGAACGGACGAGTTAGAGCTGCCGCAATCTTCAGCCTTAATGAGTAGTGGCACGCCGTTCAAGTCTGCCAAGAATATGTTCGTACAAGGCGAAGGAAGTAATCCTGGACCTTTTCCTACCTCCGGACCTAACCGGCAAATTTCTTTGGACAACTTCCTATACGGCACCGATGAAGTTCCAGTCTTTTCCCCAGACGGAATGCAATTTTCAGGATTTGCGTACCCTTCAATCACGAACTCCACACCTTCAAATCCACCAACTCAACCTGTCACTTCGACTCCATGGAACACAGTTCCAGGGCCCGTACGGTCTTTTCACACTATGCTCTCTCAGAAGCACGAAGAGGCGAATCCCTCGTCTGGTCAAGGCCTTCTTCAGGCTAGAACTCAGACTACCACGTCGCGGCCTACTACAGAAAGGACAAGCAGAATTCGTCAATCGGATGAATCAGTTCGAAATCAAAAGGCTCCCGGTTCAGCGGACGAACACGAATCCGACCAAGAGCAACCAGGATATCCTGGAGGAAGTTCAGGACCGCCCGACAACGATCCCCCCCCCCCCAACTCTGGTAATCACAGCTTCTCGAGGAACAATGAACGACAAGTTGCTAGTCGGAGATCCCGAGGAAGATACGGTAGAGGAGGAGGACCACCTGATCCCCCTTCATCTTCTTCAAGTTCATCTAGAACTCGAAGTCGCGCCTCTAGTCGATCCGATTGGGACGAAAACCGTCCTCCAGCACCATACGGAAATTTCATCCCTACCGTGAAGACGGATATCAAGCTAGAACAATTGCCGACTTGGGATGGAAATCACGACATGGCCATCGAGTATTTCTGGAAGATTCAGCAATTAGCCGCGATGAAAGGTTACTTACCCCAAGCGCTCGGCTATTGGTTGTGGATGAATCTGAAAGAAGATTCTACGGTACACATGTGGTTCGCCATGTGCTCTCATGAACAACAGGAATACATGAGGTCACACTATGTTGCCTACATGAGAGGCATAAAAGAAGGTTATCTGGGACGTACATGGCAGATGAAAATGAATGCTACTTACGAGAATCAGTCTTTCCGGCAAGCAGGGCATGAGCGAGAAGACCCGGGCAAGTTTATCATCCGACGTATCATGTACACGCGAATGCTAGTTAATGGAGACATGGGAGGACCATTAGAAATTTTCCTCGTGATGCAGAGGGCTCCTATATCATGGGGTCCCGTAATCAACATCGATAGCATCCGTTCTTCAAGCATGTTGTTCTCTAGAGTTACAGAACACTCGCGGGCATTAATACATACTTCTAGAATAGAGAATTCGCAAGTCGTCACAGCGGACAACCTGGCATACATGCTTCGACGGATAGGGATTTCCGGATCGACTGACAGAACGCTAGCTTCGGACCGCGCAACAACCTCTTCAACTCGATTTAACAAAAGAGCAAATGTTACGGAGCTAACGGCAGATCCAGTCGACGATTCTGCTGCTACGCTCCCCATTCCCTCCCTTGTAGACGAGAGTATTCTGAAAGAGGTATACCAAGTCCTACAAAAACGTCAATGACCCCCTCCCCCGGGCGGCTACCCATTCAAACAGAACGATCATGTCTGCACTAAGATGGGAAGACAGCCCCCCTCCCCATGCAAAGTGTGCGGCAGTCCGAACCATTGGGACAAGGAATGCCCAGACTGGAACGTCTACCTGGAAACGAGGAATCGATCAGTGCACTTCTCAGTCGGACATTCAGACGATGAACCGGAATTAGAGGAGAAGTATTGTGCGGCCTACGCAGTTCTGCTCCACAACAAAGTGGCGGAGCAACTACTCAACTTAAACGAGCCTAGCCCCTTCTCCCAGGATCAGGATTTTCATAAGGCAACTGTGATGTCACTAGTTCGACAATCGAACCACTACTCTCATGGACATAAGACCTACGCGAAGAAGACTGTTTCAATGGAAGAAGTATTAGACGAAGAGGACGAAAAAGTGAAACTTAGCCCAAAACTAACGGAAGGAACTCACATCTTGGAAAGCATTTTCGACGAAGTCCCTCCCACTTCAGTTAACCGTCCCCGGCGACGGTCTTTTGTGGTAGAGGAAGAAGACGAGGAAGATGCTGAAGCTCGAGCGAAGCCAAAGTTGACGGATTCCCGCTACATTCTTGAAGACATGGACGAATCGAAGAGAGAGGAGCCTCCACCCGCAGTACACGAAGCCCCCATGGATCAACGCTACGCATACAACCTCCACGCAACAGGCATCAAGTCAGAAGAGTCATCAAGCGCGAGTAAAGACTTCACATTTCCCTTCCACGATATACCAGGGCCACCAGCTCCACTAAGACGAGTCCGTGTGCCCAAAGCTAGAGTCACGAAACCAGGAGCTTCTGCCGTGGGCGTTTCCGTGCTATCCACCAGAGGGCGATTAGCGACAGCAAGCAACCCCGAGATCGACCTTCGCCTTGACTCCTGCGCTGTCATCACGTTGATCTCCAAAGAACTCTACTTGTCGTTGAAGAATCGGCCACCTCTTCAACAGGGCTATCAGATGCAGATTTTTCAACTGACTGAGACAGGTACTCACATTAAAGGCTTCGTGCGTATCCCAGTAATCATGGAATCCACGGATGGCACCCTTGGCTGTAGGCCTATGCCTTATTCCCTGGGATAATGCAGTTTTCCCTATTACTCAGGGAGTGCCTGCACCCAGCTGGGTCTATGCAGGTCATTCTGGTTTCTCATTTTACTGTATTTAGTTGAAATTAGTCTCCCCTTCTGGAATACAGATAATATTTTGTCCTTTCCGTTGTTTTTTTATGCTCCTGTTATTCCAGCATCAGTGGAAATTGATGGATTCATCTTGTATGTCGTGGCCTTAGAAGCAAACAATATCAAACAATCTCCCATTTTGGAGCTCTGATGGTTTTTCGAATCTCCCACTTGTTCCTCCACTATAGAAGTTGAATAAAATATATCAGATATATGTTGACATATTAATGCTTGTTCTTGAACACTTTCCGCCTCCGTCGGGGGGAAGTGATTGATGGATTGGAGGACCAGACCTTGGATGTCATAGCCTTAGAAATAAACAACTGTAAATAACAAGATATATTCAATGGGGACCAAAAAAACACTAATCCTCGTCGCATTCCGCCAGGGATTCAAGCACAGGGTCAATGCCACACCCAGGGCCTTCATTGGCTTCATCCGCGCTCACTATAGGCGTCCACGGCGTGTCCCACAGGCGTGTAAACTGTGCGTGCAGGGCTCTCTGGATGCTCGCCTGCCGGCTTGCATACGCCCTTACTCCCTCCCCCATTGGCTTATCCAAAGCTTGCCAGCCAGGCTGCCGAGCATCCCACCACGATGCTTTCCACTCCAGGGTTTTCCGAACCCTCCGCATCTCTTCCTTGAGCAAGTGGACTTCTTCTGTCCAGCGCAAGCACCGTGCACGGGCTTTGGCCCATTCAATCCGCACCGCTGGCAATTAATCAGCGGTTGTAAATCCTGTCGTATTGACGGCTGCTTACCTTCATGAAGCACGGCATCGTCATCATCGCCAACCGCCCCTACCGTAGTCCAGATCCATGAAACAGTCTTCTTTCCTTGCCCCAAATCCAGCCGCTCTGCCTTTCGCTTCTTCTTCGACAATGTCCGACCGTCAGGGCCCACTGTGTCACCTGGGATCTCGATGCTGATCTCTCGACCATCTGGCGTTGTCAGATCCCCATGCATCAGCGGCCGCAATTGTTTTTCCCAACTTCCTGGACCCTGTAACGCAAGCAATGCATATCTCGCCACCATGTATTTCACCGCCATGGCTTTCGTCTTGTCCTCAAGTCGGTCAAGGGTCTCCTTTGCCCTGGTGTTGGGGTTCTGTCCACGAATGTTGCGGTTGCGGAATCCGATGAAAGACAGCCGCCCACGTTGCAAACTGCGTATCCTGTCCAGGGCGTCGTGACACTGCGCCTCACGCAATTTGACTTCGATTTCGACCAAGTTCGCGTTGCAGTTGTGTTTACGATGGTCGGCAGGAAGCGACGAGGGAAGCCAAAGAAGCTGGAATTCGGCTTCTGATGACCTGCGGTTGGCTTCGGGTAGCGCCTGCTGGGATGCCTCGTCTTTGTTCAACATTATGGTGGCAGCTGGCATGTAGATAGCCTGTAGGTTACGGAACTGCTTGACGTGGCGTAGAAGTAGCAGACGACGGCGCTGCAGTTCATTATCCTGGTTTGTCGTGAGCTCGGCTGAGTGCCTAGAATCCCAAATAATCCGCCGCCTAGATGTTTGTACACAATTAGCATATATATTTAATGAGGAGCAGAATAGACGGCTTACTGAGATTCTTCAACAACCAGGCCCATTGAGATGAACCCTGTAGGCCCGGTATCGTGTAGTTGAGGCACGCCAGCAGTCACCGCGCGCTTTTCTTCCTCAAGAAGCTGTTTTTTCACTTCGGTCTGGGAGGCATCTAAAACCACTCAGTTAAGCATTTACTTGATAAGAGATGGCGACAAAACGTACGGGTTACCACCGAGATGTACGGATTCGGCTTCTTTGGGTCTTTCTCCCACTCTAAGACCATCTTCAACCATTTATCCTCCAGCCCGTTCTCCTTGAGCGATGAACAAAAGTCGTCGAAAATGGCTTGTTGACGTTTTTGTTCAGGTATCGCAAGAGTTAAGCGGCTATGTAAGGTCCTTCCTGAAAATGTAGTCAGCATATAATCGATCATCGAAGCTCCATGAATTACTTACCGAGCGAAACATACTTCCTAAAGTTGTGGTGCTCAAAGTGGTCATCGAGTGTGTCGTGCCGTGACCCGGGACCCATTTCCTTCGTACTATTCGCGACACGGTTCATCTCGGCCCAGCTCCGTTCAATTCCCTCACCATCAGTGCGGCCCACACCAGGCTTGAAATTTAGCGAATGGGGCGCCTGGCAAGGCACCTTATGCATGGGGCAGTGACACTTAGGGATGCCCCAGTCGAGCTGTACGTCCGGCGGAATATGTAAACCCTTCGGTAACTTGGGCATTCGTGTTTCGAAGCCAAGCTTGAATTGGCAAGCGATGTCGTAGGAGATGAAAACCGAAGCGACGAGGAGCGGAGCGAGGGCAGATAGTAACACGAAATCCATATTGCAGTACCTAAGTCAGTGGAAATCAGCTCCGGCATATTGGCTCAACTCAAGAGGTACATACCGTTCGCCTTTCTGAAGGTCTCCCACGCCCCCAGGGCGAATGATTTCATGTCTAGCGCAGAGGCACATTCCTACGCCGGTTGAGCGTAAACCGGCCGAGAATTGTGTCTCTGCATTTGCCAACGTCTTGAAGCCACTGCAGGTGCTAATCTTTAATAAAATCAATACCCGCACCGAGTAAACGAGAGCACTACGTACATCCTTTTGGGTGGCATACTTTAAAATATGTTTTTGGTACGGCGCGTCTTCAGGGAAGTACGCAAACCCTGTATGTAATCCAGGGTCCTTCTTGAGGCTCGAGCGCATCAGATTCTTCAAGCGAAAATTCGCGTCCATGGCAATTATGAGCACGTAAAGAAACCTTGAGAAACATTCACTAATCAGCTCGGCTCTACTGAAATAACAGAGATGATGCCCACTTCCATTCTATTCCAACATCTTCCCACTTTTCCGGAAGGTTGACTCCGGGTATCGGGCATGCTGGACAAAGGGTAGCCAGATCCCCGCGAGCTGTACTAGTGATGCCGTGCTCAAAGTTCCCTCGCCCATGGCGCTTCATGAGCTTCAGGTGGCGAAACTCACGAATCATGCGCATGAGGGACTTATATCGAGTCTAACAGACTTGTAAGTGACCGGAATCTTACAATGCATACCAAACTTACCTTAGGAATCTCGAGCTCAGTGTTATCAGTGAGGAACTCGAGGGCCCTGTAGAATTCGTGACCGGAGAGTTTTTCTGACAGCGTAATGACGTGGAAGAGTTCCAGAAGCCGAAATGTTGCGCACGTCTGTGGTTGATGGATTGTCGCGGGAAACCATTCTGCGCGGAGGAGCTGCTGCCGATTGGAGATAACCCTTTGGTCACAGCCACAGAAGTCCACAGCCACGTAGTGGAGGCCATTGGTCTGGAGGACTGTGAAGTCCTTGTGGCCAGGCTGGGGTAGCAAGCAAGTCGAATTGACGTGTCCAAGCTGAACTCGCAGCCCCATCGATCTGAGCGAGATCTTCTCAAAAAAAATACCGTTCCACTTCTAAAAGCTAATAAGAACTGAGAAAGTCAGAATGATAGAAACAAACCTGGATGATATGCAAGGGGAGGTGCTCATGACGCTTCAAGCAGCAATCAAGGCACTCTCTCAAACGGCCCATACAATCATCGCAACGGTAGACGCCCCCCCCTGTGTAGCAAGACATATAGTCATCCGTCAACCTGTCTCCCCGTCCCTCTAGCCTCAACATTTCCAACAAATACTCTTCTCGATAACCAGGGTCTTGGGGTGTAGCTCCGGCCCACTCACGCAGAGGGGCGTCCTGAACATTGTGAAATTAGTAACAATATGCGGTGGACATGTGAAAACTTACCGAGGTTGGATACCGTTTAGCCGCGACCTTCTCGGCTACAGTTCCCCCTCCCAAATCAAGAGTCGTCTCTTCTACGTTGTCGTATTCGGTACTTGGATTCCACTCATACTGAGGGGATGGACTGCAACGAGCGGCAGATGTAGCTTTTTGTGGAGAAAGAGGGGTTTGAATAATGCGATGTCCACTGTCAGAGATGCAGACAGTCCGAGATTGTGGGATAGATATGTCCTGACGTTCGTCGTCGTCGTCAGAGTCACGCACGACAACATAACGTTTGGCCTTGCCCCTGGGCCTTAGTACCTTACCCCTCATGGATGAGAAAAGGTGATATCAACAAAAGACGGCTAGATCAATCTAGATCTATCTATCACGTTATAAGCATTACAAATGGTTTCTAATGTTTAAAGTCACTAATCTAATCAAGTAGTGTTACAAACGGTTTCTAGTTCAAATTACAAACAGTTTGTAAGGCTACAGAGACCGTTCTTTACCTCTTGCATGGAGCCACACATTTCTCTAGGGCCTCCAACGCCGCCAATGCCTCAGGGTCCCATTTCCAAGGTATTTCTAATTTGCTTAGAATCCCCTGCGCTGCCAAGTTCAACTCCAGCACCCAAACGGGTTTCTCAGGCTTTGGACCATCCTCTTTAGTCGCGAAGCTCCCACACATCCAGGAGAGCTTCCCGCGCATCCACTTCGAAGCGGTTCAGCTAGCGTGCGCAACACACAATGAATGAGTGAACTTGCCTTACGACGCGCTTCCCGAATGTATTCCTCGTACGCTGGGTCATCTTTGAACTCTTCATTGACGAAAACCTCCTCATCTGCAGGCTCAGGAAAGCGAAGGAACCACACCAAACAAGCGCGAGACATATAAGCAGTGACTTGGCCCTCCTTGGAAGCAGCAACAAAGCTAGGCAAGAGCTGCTTCAAAACGTCTTTTTGCTCCCACTTGCGGTGCCGTTTTGCGGCAGCAATCTCGTCTAACTTGGCTTGGGCAGCGATCTAACGATCAATCTCATGTCAGGGTCCGGTGCCATTTGAAATTCAACACGATCATACCTCACGGCGCCTTTTGCCAAGATTGTTGCCGGTGTCGACGAACTTGGGTTTGTAAGGTTTGGGTTTGAGTGAGCGCTTGGCCATTTGGGATGGACGATGGGGGTTTTCGACAAGGCGAGTCTTGACTACATGCTCAGTCGAACTTTATTTTTGTGGCTTACTAACTATACAGGCGACCTCAGACCAAAATCTGTGGGTTAATCCACATCAGCAATAAACAGACAAGTAGGTAAGTAGGGTCGTTCAGATAGGTACAAAAGAATAAGATTTGACTAGATACAAACTAGATAACCACCTTGGCGCCTTTGGGACAGATCTGATAACCGAAAATGCCGCTGGAACGCCAATCTGCGATGTCATCGACGGAACTCATTGCCTGCATATGGATCTCCTCAACAAGGCTCACAACGTGCCTGATGTCGCGGGCTACCATGTCTGCTTTTTTCCAGATGTCTCCGCATCCATAAATTTGCAATATATCTCCGAGCACCCCCTGAACTTCCATCATAAATGCATTCCACTGTTCCTCCATCAACACGCAGAAGCCCAGGGCCTCTTCAGGGTTGGCGATGCAGTATTGGGCGATCTCGTCGAGATACGTATACAGAGTGCCATGTGTAAGTTTCATAAATTGTTCTTTGGCCTTCTCCATAAGCCACAATGGATCACATCTACCCGTTGAATGTCAGAACTTGATGCTGATAGAAAGCGGAGGAACTGGATGAACGTACCTTTCGGAGACCTTGGCTGTAGTACCGCTATCCTTCCTAACAGTCTGTAGTTTCTTTTTGTATTTACGACGCGATCGGCGATTAATTTGAACTCGATGCCAAGGGGGTGCCGGCCCGGGAATTCCGTACCAGGACCTGGTTAGTTAGTCCAGCCGCAGGCTGTGAAAAAAAAAAAAGGATGCCTTGGGCAGAAGGCCTTCAATCATCAAGGAGGTCTTTACCTTCCCCGGTATAATCCATATGGAATCCATGTGGAATCCATGGAATCCATGAAGAATTCCATATGGAATCCATGGAATCAATGTTGGCTGAGGACACAGCCAGTTTCTGATTCCATGGACATCATGGATTCCATATGGAATGATGCTGGAATGGTCATGGAATGATTAATTCCATATGGACTCCAACACCATTCCATATGGATTCCATCAAATTCCATATGGAATGCAGGCATATCCACATGGATTCCATGGAGCAGTCCATATGGATTCCATGGAATGGAATTAATGACTATTATACCATTAGAATACATTGTCCTTACTATAAGTAAGTAAAATAAATTTTTTTACATC